ATCACAAATGAGAACAACCACAATCTTATTCCTGCAAACCAAAATGGTTCATATAACATAATACAAGCTATCCCACCTCGAATCTCAAATGAAAGATAACTCTAAAATGTAGAAAATTGAGTTATTACAGAAATAATTAACATTAATAATAAAATCACTACAGCAGCAGCAGCACGGCAACTCCGCCGGCGATCATCGCAGCAAATCCAATGCTAACTCGGGACACATCAGCGCTCGACCCATCAAGGGTGGACGCCGCAGGTTCCAGTCCCGGGGAGAGCGACGTAGGAGACATAGAAGACAACGGCGACAGAGTCGTCACTGAGGCCGTTGGGGATGATGCTGCAGACGTTGGAGCCGACGCGGGGGCCACCAGAGTCGGCGCAGGTGGCGATAACGAAACGACCGGTGCCGGAGGTGGAGTTGCGGAGGGGGAGGAGGCAGGGCTCTAGGCAATGCAGCTGGAGAGGAGGCTGAAGGAGAAGAGGAGAATTAATGTTGGAGGAAAAAGTTCCATTCTTGTGGTCTCTTAATTTGTTTTCTCAGGGAATGTTGAAGGTGAGATAGGGGAAGAGAGAGAGAGAAGAGAGAGAGAGAGTGTGTGTATATATATGGAGGAAAAAGTTTCATTCTTGTGGTCTCTTAATTTGTTTTCTCAGGGAATGTTGAAGATGAGAGAGAGAGAGTATATATATATTGTGTTAAATACAGGGGGGACCCTTAACTTTGGCTGATTATTAGGTAACCCCCATAATTTTCAAAATATCAGAACCCCTCCCCCCAAGTATATGATTAGTTGAACTCCCAAATTTGAGAATTTATTAGAAAACACTCCTAAAACCATCTCTTCTAGGGGGTCTCCCGATAAAAGGCAATGTTAAATGGGGGTTTCTAACAACTCCTAAACTTAAAGGGGTTTTACTAATATATTCAAAGCTGTGGGAGGTTATCTGATAATCATCCAAAGTTAAAGGGGTTTTATGATATTTACCCCTATATATATAGTGTTAAGGTAAATAGGTACTGATGATGATTTTGTGGTGTGTAATTGAGTGGAAGTTGGTATGCTAATGACAGAAGAACTCTTTGATTGAATATTAATATTCCAAACCTTAAGTTGTTGGATATTAGATCCAAATTTCTATTTATAAATTCATCACTTCCCCATGTGAAACCCCATCACCTCACTTTAGTTGTGAGCATAACTCACTCATTCACATGTACCAGCCATACTGATCTCTGGTTTATCTGACTTTAGTATAAACCAACAATAATGGGCATAGTACCATATCCTTAGATTTTTCACCATTTTTTGGTTAACTAGATCTTGGTCGGTGCGACCTGATCTAAAGCGACAATATAACCATGAAGCAAGGCATAAGTCTCAATTTCCGTAGGATATTTGTCATCGCCTAGAAAATTATCGCCTAGAAAATTAACAAGTGCTAATCTCTCAAGAGAGGCCAACATGTGTCTCACCCCTTGCCTAATCAGACGAATTGGGGCCAAGACAACTCAAACTACTCCTACGGCCGACCCTATGGGTCGACAACTTGTTTAGCCGAGTCAAAAGGCGATACTTGTCGGCCACCTCACCCGATCGACCCAACGAGCAACCCGCACTCGGCGATACTTGTCGACCAATTAGGGCCAAGACTACCCAAAGTCAAAAGGAAATTTTCTGTTATTAACCTTATTTTTTCGCTTCTCAAGAAAAAGAATCTGGATTTTCCTTAGTAGTGATCTGCGGCATGGACACGTCTCCAAATGAGCTACCACCGTCTCTCGAATGCGACAGCTTATCGTCCTGTTTTAGGATTCTAGAAGATTTATACGTTCTCACTCACTTACATCTAAAACAAAGACAGTGAATAATACGAATCAAAAGACTTCAGGGCATCTCCAATGGAGCATCAAAACTCCATTTTGGAGTGTTTTGGCACTCCAATGGAGTGCCAAACATACCGCTAAAATAACGGGATGCTACAGTGTTGTGTCAGAAATGGCGCAATACTGTAGCATTGGCGCAATTTTTTTTTTTGTGAAAACTTTTTATGGAAGGTCTTATGAGAAGAAATGCAGAAACAAACTTTTTTTTTTCTTTTGTTATTTATATTTGTATTAATAATATATATTATTTTATATTAACTATTATAATGAAATTAGAGTATAAAATAATTATTAGAATATAATTTAACAATGGAAAAAAATAGATAATTTAATCCAAACATTTAAAATTTCATAATACTAGAACCAAATGAAGAAATAAGAAAAACTACACCATATAGATAAAAAAATACAACATAAACATTAGGACATAAAAAAAAGTTACACATAAATTAGGACATTAAAAATTACCACTAATTGCAATACATTAAAATTAAGGGAAAATAGAACATGCTACATAAACTAAAACAACAATTCGGTATTCTGAGAAATTATCATTAGAAGGCCGAAGATGTTTTTTTTTGTGATGTTAAATGTAATCTTTAGTTGAATTTATGAAAGTAATATTTTAATTTGATTTAGCATTTAATTTTTATATTTTTATTTTATTCATAAAATATATTATTATAATTAATTATATGTAATGTATTATATAATTATATAATTTGTTAAATATTTTAAATAGATGAAAATGTTTATAAAATGAATATTCTTTTTGGTGTAACATTTGGTGTAATGTGTTGGAGATAAAATAATGATTTGGTGTAAAAACTATACCAACATGGTGTAAAAACTATATCGACAATCTGCGATATATAACTATAATTGCAAAAAATATGTGGAAAAAATATTTTGGTTGTTTCAATATATTGAACAGTGCAATCTGTCTCGTGTTATATAAGAAAATTAATAAAGACTAGTTATCAGCATAATTTCTGGCCTGCAGGAGCTCAGTGGGCATAACGTACGTTTTTTTTAAGTTAGTCGATCTATGATGACAATAATTACTTCGGGGAGCGAAGTGCCCACAATTACAAACGCGTGTATGTAGCCGGTCCTCACATTATAAGGAAAGTAAAGAATGAGAAATGATAGAGACACATTCTCCACCACACTTCCAACCACACCTCCCCTTCTGCTACAGTGCACCGGGGCCCACTTGAGATTTAAATTTTAAATCTCAAGTGGGTCCCGATGCACTGTAGCAGGAGGGGAGGTGTGGTTGAAGGTGTGGTGGAGAGTGTGCCTCTAGTGCCTCTCGTAAAGAATACATATTTTCACTCCATTTTTGCAAAAGATCCATTCATTCTCTAAAATGACAGGTTAGGTGGAGAAATGAAGCATGACCAACACCAATTATTAGGGCTATCCATCCAGACCGGGCCGGGCTCTAGCTCGGTTTTTTTTGTTATTTAAATTTTTTAATTTTTTAAGAATACAAATCAAAAAATAAACACAATTTTAATAAAAATTTATATTATTAATTAATTGTAATTATGTAATTTATAAATATAAAAAATTATAGAAATTAAAATGATATAAAATAATTGTAGAACTTATAGAAACAAACAAAATTAAAAATAATTGTAGAATTCAAAGACCCCAAGAGCCACAATCAAATCAAAGACCTCTAAATATATATGTTGTGGATAGGAGTTGAACCACTAACCTACTCTTCAAACTCGTAGATTTTATTACTTATGCATTTCAGGTACGCATAGATGCGTACGCATCCCACCTAAATTCGTGCGCAGGGGGGGTTTTGAAAAAAAAACCCAAGCCACTCGTGACCCCTATCCCCAATAAATTCGTGACTTCTCTCTTCCTCCCTCAACTCAAGAAACCAGATCCAGCCTCTCTCCAAGCCCCTCCGCCCACCGAGCTCCCCTCCGCTGCTCACCGACCGCGCCAAACCCCTCAGCAGTCGCCGCGCTCCTTCCGACAGCAACACCACCGACCACCTCCTCCCTTGCCACGCCGCCAGCCTCTCCCCGAGCTCCCCAGATCCGCACCCCATCACCGCCCCTTCGTCGCCGCCGTCCCTCATCACCGCCTCCATCCCCCCTCTACCACCGTCACCCCTGTCCACCTCATCTCCGCCTCGCCGCTCAACCAACACAGCCGCCAGCCCTCACCCCCAGCTTCGTTGTTGCCCACCTCTAGCTCCTCGAGCTTCGCCCAGCCCAACATCCGACTGCCGAGCTCCTCCATCCTTCAAATTAAGCTGATTTTGGTGCTTCAAATTAAGCTGATTTTGGTGAGGAAAGTGGGTTTTATCACTTTGGTGCTTCAAATTAAGCTTATCTAAAATTTAATTGTAAATTTTTTAAATTGTACTTTTGCAAATGGTTTGAAGGATTTGAGATGGCTTAGGGAGCTGAGAATGGATGCAAGTGTGGGTCCAACCGCACCTGTGACCCCTGCAACTGCAAATGAGTATTATTAGCCAGCAAGAGAGAGATGAATAAGTTATCGTAAGTTTTCTTGTGTGTTGATGTGGTGTGTTTTAAGGATGTGAGGAAATCTAAGTGCTATGTTCTCAAATTCTTAGTTAGTGTTATATTTTTCTCAACGTAGTAACGTTGTTCTCAAATTCTGGCTTTTCCTCGTATTCCCAACTTTCCAAAAGAACCTTATTCCAAGTTTCACAAATTTAAACGGAACCAGTGCCATGTTCTTCACTGTTGCATTCAAGACAAAGAATGATCTGGATCAATAATGGCATAAAGTTATGAAGTAGAGAAGTAATTAGAACAACAACAACCTTTCATCACAAATTTAAACGGAACCAGTGCCATGTTCTTCACTGTTGCATTCAAGACAAAGAATGATCTGGATCAATAATGGCATAAAGTTATGAAGTAGAGATGTAATTAGAACAACAACAACACGATACAAAAAAAAATGCAAGAAGAGAAGAAAGAGGATGAGCAAACTGTCCTTGTCCCATCGCTGCTTCCTCCTCAAACCCTCATATTATTCTTCTTAATATGCTTTACCAGAAAAAAAAGAGAAAAAAAGAAGACCCCTTTAGTTGTATCACTGCACAAATTTTAGATCAATGTATAGCCAGAGACCGAGATGTCAGCTTGAGTATCCGAGTGGATGTAAACAAACTCAAAGCTTTTACCCGCAGGCAACGACTCAACCCATGTAGGATAATATCCATTCTCTAACTTTGTTAGCCCCCACAATTCACCATTGAACTTTGATATCGAAATGTTGAGGTTCTTTGCAATTTTAGATAACTTGTTGGTAACCATTGCAGAGTACCTGTAGTACTTTGTTCCTCTGAAATCCCATGATGTTGTTGCTTTCTGCTCAATTGCAAATGGCGAAATTGATTTGGTTCCTACATCAGAAGTTGAGTTAGTCAAATTCGAAATTTCATTGGCGTAAGCCATATTTGCAATAGTTCACTTTAGTATCTAGGTTTTGCCCATTTTTGACGTTGATATTCCGATAAGTTACAAATGATAATTATTTCTCAAAAAATTTCATTGCATCTTTTGGACAAATTTAAACTTCAGGTCATTAAAGCAAAAAATGATCGAAAACTTCAAGACGTCAAACTACCTGGAGAAGTGAAGGGTTTATCAGGCAACGGAATCTCCACAAGAAGTTGATTATCTCCACTATGACCAGCACCAAGACGAGCTAATACTCCAAGCATAGGCCCTGGCATCCAACAATGTCACGCGGACATTACATGGCGTGTGCTGCAGAGAGGCCCTCTGCTATATGTATCTCCTATCTTCTGATGTCTAAATATAATTATTTCTCTGTTATCATGTGGGTATAATATAACGTTTAGAGCAAAAGAGTGTGTTTGCAACTGACCACAGTCTAAATTTTTTGGAGCAAAAGAGTGATATGGCTACCTGAGACTTGGCAAAGCCTAGGAGTTAAACAGGAGCAATAGCGGTTCCCGACGAGCATTGGATGCTGGTCCTGGCGGACTGAATGTTGAGCTGCCTTCCCTTGTAGGAGGAACTGTACGAAGATTGCCATCAATTAGTGAACGATCGATTTGTTAAGAAAAAATTTTATCGTAGCTAACATCATATGATTTTGATGCTGTCAATTAAAATCTAAATTTTCCGGATCGAAAAATCTATCCTTTCCTGTGGTGCAATATTTATGGCCTGGGAGATTTATGATTATTTCAAATAGTTATGCCTATCAACATCGTATTCAAGGATACAGATTTTCATTTGTGAAGTAAAAGTTTAGATTCGGAACGATAATGCCTGCATCTTGATACTATACTATTACTAAAAAGTTTGCTCCATTCTATGACTTGATGGATCTCGATCTTATTAATTGGAAATTCTTAAACTTCTTATCACTAATACAAAAATCACAAAAAACAAAATTCCGGTGAAAATTAAGGATTATGTAATTTTATATTTCTAACAGAATCAAAAAGGTTACATTGAGCAATAACAAAGGGATTTGTGTCACCTTAGAAGCAAGAACTTGTACACCAGCATATTTGACGTCCCAACCGAACTGGGTAAGTTGCCACCCGGTCCCACCAAGTTCATCGCCATTATTACCCAAATAATCAAGATAATAATGATCATTTGTAGCCTGATACAACCACGCAGCTGCCCACAAGAGCTCATCCTTCAATTAGCAAATTATCCGGAAAAAAAGAACATCGGTTAATCTCAACCGTTGGATCAGCGCACGAAAATTACAAAAGTAGCATAGTTCTGCAATTTGTACTTACCCCGTATCCACTAACAGAGCGGTAGTATTTTTGTGCAGGCTTTATACTGCCATCGTATTTACCCCGGTATTTGTCAGCAAACTCGAAGAGCTGTTAAAAAAAAGAAAAGAAATATGTACAAAATATTAGGCTAAAACTGAAAACGTAGATTCGTCACTTGTTGCCGACACGTCATTTAAAAAAAAAATTACAGAATTAAATGCTCCCACGTGATCCAAACGGCCAGATCCGTTAGCTACGGTAGCGGAACTCCTGGCGTAGCTTAGGCCGACCCGGCACAAAGAGCTAACATGTGCATAATAATGTAAATTAAAGGAGAACTCGTTTTCATATGAGTTTGCAACGAGGGAATAAGTTTTACAGTATTATTATACTCTTAAAACAATTATAAATGAATGACTAGTGTGAGAAACGTTAGAGCATCTCCAACAGCTTCTCCAAAATTTTCTCCAAAATGGAGAAGCAAAAGTTATATTTTTTAACTAATTTTTACACCAACTCCAACAGCTTCCCCATTTTGAAGAATCTTTTTTTTCCTCCAAAAATTTGGAGAATGCTGCAGATTTGAAGAAGCTTCCCCATCTTTTCTTCTCCATCCCTATTTTGGGGAATGAAATGGGGAATCTGTTGGATCAAAAACCTAACTAAATTCTCCAAAAAAGAGAAATAGGGAAGCTGTTGGAGATGCTCTTAGAATGTTTTTAGCGTTGCAATTTTTCAAAATGGAAGAAAAATTAATAGCAAAAAAAAAAAAAAAAGTCACATAGCTAATCATGTGCAAGCGTTACGACTTACGAGTTAATTTGCTACCAATTAATTGCGACTACTTTATTGGTTTCTTATATGATTATTGAACCGGGCTCAAATGTATGACCTGTCGAGCATGAGTTAGGAGCTCTCTCGAGTAGGCCGGATCGAACCGGCGGAAGACCGATCCGATAAGCTTGCCGGTTGGTTGTCATGTCCTCTGGCCGCTGCCAGCAGTAGTGGTCAGAGTTGCCATCACCAACCTGAAGATAATTAGATTAAGATTGCTCAGCAGCTTAATTAAAATAACATGTTAAGAAAATTCAGCCATTGAGAATTAAATATTTAGAGTCCGGTTTCGTCTCTTTGCGATCTAAGCTGTTTGAATCTTTTTTTTTAAACAAGATACAATTAAGGTTCCTTTCAGTCATTAGGTTATGCTAATAAAAAATTGGAGTTCATGTATCGAGATAAATTACTCCCTATTATATTTTTTTTAACAGGATTCGGTAAGCATTTTTGTCAAATGAATTAATGGAACAGTAACTGCTCTTCCACAGCTCTTATTATAATTACGGTTACTCCTACCTTCTTTAATCTTTTGGGTTTGGAAAACATAGAACAAGTCAAGCAAATGAGCAGTAAAGGTTACTGACAAAAGTTGAAACATTTAATGCAAAGAGCATGAACAAACACCTGTCCAGCCAATCAAAAATAAATAAAAACTGTTCATAACGTAACTTCATTACTTATCAACAGTAACAATTGGAACGAAGTTAATTACAAAAAAAGTCCCTGTACTATAAAAGATTTCCTGAGCAGGACCTCATGCTTTATTTAGATTCATCAAATCTGCTCTATTGGGCTCTACAAATAACTTCCCTAAGGGTGTTTTCTGCAAATCCCTGCTGTATTAGATGAAATTAGACCTTTCTCAACGTACCTACTTCTGTAATCATAATTTCATGACCAACTCCAACTGTCTCTCTCTCCCCTTTTTACTCAGAGCATCTCCAACAGCTTCCCCATCTTCTTCAAATACTCAATTTTGGGGAATATAGAGCTTTTTTTTGGTCCAACAGATTCCCCATCTCATTCCCCAAAATAGGGAAGAAGGAGAAAAAATAGGGAGCCTTCCCCAAATTTGCAGCATTCTCCAAATTTTTGGGAAGAGCTTTATTATTGTAATAAATGCGATTTTTCAAAATGGGAAAGTTGTTGGAGTTGGAGCAAAAATAATTTAGAGAATATGACTTTTGTTTCTCTATTTTGGAGAAAATTTTGGGGAAGCTGTTGGAGATGCTCTCAAGAAACTGTGCAACAAACAATAACTGGTTGTAATAAAAAAAGTAGCTACTAGCTAGGCTCTCTAGCTAGTATCCGAGAGGAATGGAGAAAATCTCAATGCTCGTTAGATTTTTCCCCCCTTATACGTCTCTTAATGTGAGGTGATAATGGATGGGTGATTCGCTCAACTCTGCTCAAGTGACATTATTACACGAGGCCTCTAATAAAGCATGAGAACTTTTCCGCAAAATTCTTAGTTATCAGAGGGGTTTTACGCAAATCAACCAGGGGAAAAAACGAGTACGGTAAATTCTGGGACCCTTAGATGGCAATCCAAGCGTCCGTGTAGTCATTAGTCAGTCGTGTAGAAATAGTTCTTAAATTGCAAGTTAGTTAGAATTATCAAAATTTCAAGGGGGCAATAAGTGAGGGACTAAGAAGTAATTACCTGTCCATAGAGGACATTGGGCTCGGGATGAGCTTTAATGAGATAGTCAGTTCCCCACCTGACGGCGTTAAGAGCATGGCTCAGTTCTCCGCTGGCGGCCATTTGCTTGCCATATTCAGCAATGCTCCAGGACATCATAGTGACGGTGAAGGCCATGGGCAGCCCAAACTTCACATTGTCCCCTGCATCGTAGTATCCTCCTACTAAATCCACCTGCATTCAACCGAGTTCATATATACAATATAATCATTCACAAATCTCTAACGCCTTCAATTAGACGTCGAAAGTATATAATAAAGATAAGCTACAATTAATTTACTACAGAAAATAATCGTCAACAGAACTGAACGGAAGAATATAACTCATACCGTTATTATTGTGATGATTAACATTCATTTCTATTTTTTGCTATTATATATCATTTTCAGGAAACCGCCGTATCTGCGAGATTAGATTTTACTCCCCGAGATCTTTTAGTTGTTTCAAATAACTCAATAACGACTGAAATACACACATCTTATGTACCCTCAAACTGAAAAGACTTCTGGGTCACTTCAAATAAGAAATAATTTTAAGAAGTAAATCCCAAAGAAAAAAAAAACCCTGCTCTACTTTTTAAAAAGCCCGAAAAGCAGGGGGTAAACTGCAGAGAGCCCGCATTTGAGGATGAAATTAGAAAACCATGTACATTATACATACATATAATCATGGTTAGAGGAAGGGAGGCAGGTGAGCATACCCCACTAGCCTTTCCATCTTGAAGGCCAGAATTAGCTCTCCAAGTGACCCTCTGGTTCTTAGGGAGGTAACCAGATCTCTGAGCCTCAAAGAAGAGAATGCTCTTACTCAAAGCTCTCCCATAGTCATGCCCACCACCATTAACAAATGGAGAAAGAGCTACTAGCATTACCACACCAAGATGAACCACACCCCAAGCCATTAATGTGGGTGATTAATTAACAAAACTTGATCGCAATGCGGTTAATTAAGTGATTATCACTGAGAAAACAAAAGGAAAAAGATAAGAGAGGAAGACAAGAGAGGAGTGTGAGAGAGTTGAGGAGAGTTAAGAGGAGTATTTATGGAGGGAAGTGAGGAGAGTGGGAACTGAGAAGCCACATTCACACCAGAGTGGCAATGATTATTAAATGCAGACATATATTATTTATATAGAAATTATTTTGTGCTTCTATTTAGCCATTTCCCCCTTAAATTTTGTTTTATTTACTTCATTTTGTTCAACCCAGTCTCTGGCTTGTGTAGTACTTGTGAGAGGAGCCGGAAATGGTTATGAGAAAGAGAGAGAGAGAGAGAGAGAGAGAGAGAGAAAAGAACATGTCATGTGCTGTCTGCGGTCGTCGGTGGATATTTCTATTTTCTTATTTTGCACCAAGTATTTGGCATGTTTGCAGTTAAACCCCTAATTTCAGTAATACTTAGAGCAACTTTTTTAGGTAGATTTGAAAGAAATCCAGTAAGGGATAAAATGATAGACATTAACTATTGGCTAATGAGAGAGAACAATAAGTATGATGACATCATCATTTTTAATCATCCAATATTATAGATCAATTAGAGTATAAAATTATTACCCTTAATCATCATTATAATTTTAAAAAATCGTGTAATGAAAGGAATTTTAATATGAAATTAGAGATCGATGTAAAAAGGTCAATGAGTGCATAGTTAGAAAAGCTTTTAAAAAATACAATTGTAAAAATTTCGTGTTTCAGCCTATAAAAGAGGATATTCAATGTGTATGGACATGTTATTACAGAAAATTATCTCTCTTAATTTTCTTAAAAACTTCAAAGTTTTAGTATAGTGAAGATGATAATTGCTTATTTTCAGATTAGTCTACTTGAGAGCTTGGAACAATTTTAAGTAAGTAGACATACACAAAGGCATATTAGATCATGCCCTTCCCCTAAAAAAATAACCAAATTAGATCTAAGCAACGCTCAACTTGATTATGATACATAACAAATACCGAGAATTTAAGTAAAGAGTAAATGCCATGCTCTGCTATAGGGAAATTCCAATAGGGCAACATCTTTTGTTAAGACTCACACATGAAAAAATCCTCAAGGACCCAAAATATGGGATCAATAGGGAGGACAAGTGAGGTGTCCCGCTCCTATTGGATAATGAGTTGGTCATCATTAATGATGGCCGACTCATTATCCAATAGAAGTGGGACATCTCATCTGTTTCTTTTATTGGTCCCATATTTTGGGTCCATGTAGCAAAGCTATTCACACATTGGCCAGCAAAATACAGCGTATCAAATCTTTATTCCACTCTTGAGGATAAGTTTCCATTTCTGGTTATTTGTGAAGGACAGACGGAGTGGGAGTAAAGGCGTGCCTGATACCAAACCATTTCCTCAAGCAATGACAAACTTACAAATAGCACCCCTCAACTTTTACTTCCAATATACAAAATAAATTTTTAATGACCAAATGCGTTAATCTAGTCTTATTGGTTGGTTAAACTTTCTACTTCGCATGGTGGATACCTAGATGAGCAACTTTAGCAGATTTGGTGGTAAAAAGCAAAAAGAATAATTGCACTGTAATTTTTAAATTTCAGAGGTTCTATTCTAGCCATATAATATTGATTCTTTTTTACTTGGATTGTTAGGGACCGTATAGTTAACAATTGTGGGTATGTATCACAGGCTAGAGTTTGAGTGTGGTTAGGGTAGATTGTTCTTCTTTCGAATCGAATAAAAATCTGAGCTCAATCTTTAGTATAGTATTCAGTACTTTGTCATTGAGACCGTTTTAT